TTCTCGAAGGTTCATGAATCCTTGAGTATTTACTAGATTTGCGGTATTCTTGTGTATATATATATGACGACCAAGAAGTGACGGCAACAATGTAAGTGAACTGCAGACAGAGAGAGACTGACGATTGAGTCGAGCACGTGAGTTGTTCGTTGTGAATTATAGAGTTAGTTATAGCATGACTGTGGAAATTAAGTGTATTGCAAAGTTGTATTCAGAAAGAATAAACCAGTTTTATTTAAGAAAAGACTTGTATCGGTAAAGTTTCTCCGGAAAGAATTTTTTACGGAAAATTAACTAACGACCAGAGACGTAACAGTATATTAGTACACATATTGACTACAAGTCAAAAGGATTAATGACCTCTTTATGCAAACCACTGATTAGGCATCATTTGGAATACTGTGGTTTCCTAACTTAAGAAAGGATATTAAATTGTTGAAAAGAGGGTAACTAGGATGGTTTTGTGGATGGAAGGATTGATATATGTAAATATTAAGTTCTCTTAACTTATTTTTTCTTGATGAAAGAAGGGTAAGAGGTTATTTTATTAAACTTACAAGATTATCTGTGGGATTGATAGGATAGGAGTTCTTTATGTTGCATTCTGAAAATAACAGTATCAGAGAACACAAGTTGAAGATCTGAAAAATACAGGCTAGGCTCTAGTTAAGAGTTTTGTATTTATAATATTGTAATTGACTAATGGAATGAATTGCCATCAGCAGTAGTAGATGCCAAATAAAAGTCAGGATGTTTAGATGAAAATCAATTATTTAACAAAAATAACGGATGGGTTCAAATCTTTACTTTTCTCAAGAATGGGTATGCAAGAATAGCCTTAAAGTACCAAGTGGTTCCTTGTTTTTCATTTCATGTTACAATAAAAATAATTTGTCAATTTTGAATATGTTGCATATATTAATAAGTAAACCTATGTCTGAAATAACTTGTTGGTTTATTACTTAAGAAAGCAAAAATATATCAGAAAAGTTTTAATTTAAGCAAAAAAAAAAATGTATTAGTGCATCTATTTGCAAGTAGTTTTACCTCTAATCCTCAAAGAAAACACTATATAACTATTTTATGATACTTACTGTGTACTTTATCCAATGGGATGGCAGATACTTGTTGCACAGATGTATCAGAGACACTACCATGTACTGGTGGTGCATTAGATGTGGTCAGGCGTACACCATTTGAAGAAGTTGCAACAGTGGTTGTTAACACTAAAAAAAAAGGTAGAAAAAATAGAAATAAAACTCATGAGCTTCAAACTTGTTCTATAGTACTCTTCTTTAAATTTTTATTGCATAGTAATGGTTCTAAAACAGTCAAGATCATTATTTGAAAATGTTTAAAGTTAAGTATAATCATAAGAATGAGAAAAATAAACATCCAAACTTAGTTGTTTTTTAAGTTTCATTCTTCACTGATATCACAATAATTTATAAAAAAATATAACTTAAAATTATAGTGTTACTTAAATAAACAGAAATTATGGACTATTAACTTAAACATTCAGTTCATACTTACCTATTCTCCCCAAAGTTGAAGTTGCACTTTGAGTTAGATGAGGAGAAACTGTTTGTACTACTTGAGATGCACCTTTTGTTGAAACCACTGTTAAACCAACTGATGATGATTTATTAGGTGTGTGGGGGACAGCTTGTAAGGACGGAGGGTACAGAGTTTGCTTATGAATGGGATTATAGTTTCCTGCATATGCAACAGACGGTAATGAAGCTATAGAGACAACTGTTGTTGAAGGCACAGTTACTGATTGGTGACTTGCTGAAGCTGGTGGATGATGCTGCTGAGAGATGTGGGCTGCTGATGATGTCATTGCACGCATCACCACTGTTCCTTGAGGTACAGCAACAGGACGCTGACTGGACAAAGGTTGAGCAAATGTGCTGTTTATTGTGGTAACAGATGAAGCCTGAGTCTTTGCAAACCCTTTCTCAGGAATCTACAATAAAAACTTTTTTTCTCACACTGATCTTAAGGAAATTAATAATGTTAATAGCAAATTCACTACTAAACTATTTTTATCAATTTTTCATCATTCCTTTGTACATCGTATGTAATAATTTAATGACAACTTTGGATACACAATGGCAAAGTAAATTGCAATAAAACTTCAAATCAAAATCAGCATAAAACATTACAAGGTTTTCAACACTGCACTTAACAATGCATTTAATTATATATACATATATATCTACAAAAGTGCTTATTAACTTTCAAATTTAGTTTTTAAAGTATTAACAAAATATAAAAAATTACTGTTTTTATGTTAGTATGGGTATGAATTAAACATCTAGTGAAAGATAAACTGTTTTCAAAAGTTCAACTTGTACATAATGTTCTGTTTGTTTATATCATGTTTAAAACAAAAATAGTTATATACACATAACAATTTCACTTTCTGTAACTATTTCTAATTCCATGACATCCAGTGTATGATAGCAAAGAAAAGCAGCAGCTGACCTTGTTTAAATGAATTAAATGTTACACCATGCATTATAATATATACTAAATACAGAACAGTGTATTAATTCCAAAACAAAGCATATACATGATAATGAAGCACGTGTTTAAATGAGGTTAACAGCCTTTTTTGTCAAAATTTGGTTGTTTCAAAGTTATATCTAGCTCACAGTTACCTAAATTCTGATATCTGATTCTAGAACATAGTATGCAGAATGGCTGGTTTAGTTATTTCTAGTGGTGGAATGAAAAATACAAAACTCAATGTAAATTCAAACAAAAATAAATGCCTTATTAACTGAAGAAGGAATGAAGATAAAAGGCCAATCACAGCATGAAGACATTTTATTTTATTGTACATTTTAAACACTGATCTTGTTTTTAATTTTAAAATCTGTTGCACAAGTTGCTGTAATTGAATCTTCGTATATAGATATATAATGTTATGAGACTTAAACTATTTAAATTTAACATTCATGTTTTCATGTTATAATTTGTAACCATTCTAGAATGAAAAAAAAGCATAATTTATATTTATTTCCTAATTTTTTATGGTGGTTACGAGGTTGGTCAAATAAAAAAACACATACAGAGATACAGTAGTGAAAATAACAGATAAAAATATAAAGTTTTTTCTAAAAAAACAAATGATAGTTATCTGGAGGTTATAAAGATTTTGCAAGTGAAATTAGAACATTTTCTGATATATAAAAGTATTTTTAATCTTAAAATCAAAATTACTTTGCATGTCGGATAGTCAACTTTCAAAAAGAAAAAAGGCGTGAGACAATCATTACTTAAGAAATCTTAAAACTTAATAAAAGAAATATTATATTTCCATACAAAAGCCTTGTTATGTTTACTGATAATATGCAAAATTTCATGAAGATGTGCTTACTAATTTAAAAGTTATAGCATGAAAACTATAACAAGTACAAAATGGTTATGAGGTTGGCCCCTGGAACCAAGCCCATGCTGGGAGAGTTAAAACATTATTCCCATCCAAATTATACTTATAATTTAAACTATGATAACTCATATGCATTATCTTGCATTTGTTATAATTAAAACCCATCTGTCATTTATTTGCCCAACTCACTAAATGATCTAAATCCTTTTGTAAAGCAGCAGTATCCATTTCACAGTTAGTAACACCCAAGAACTTAATATCATCAGCAAATTTAAGTACTTTATTGACCATTCCTCCATGTCATTGATGTAAATCAAAAAGAGCAAAAGTCCTAAAAGATACCCCACTTATGACATTAATCCAGTTTGACTGAACTCCATTTATAACAACCTTCTGATTTCTTCCATCCAACCACATTTCTGTCCAATTAGCTAACTTATCCCCCACACTTATGAAAAGCATTTATTTTTACAAGCATTTTATGTGGCACCTTGTTAAAGGCTTTCTAAAAATCCAGATACACCAAATATACACTCTTATCCTCATCTACATAAGCAGTAACCTTTCAAAAAAAATGTCAAAAGATTTGTAAGGCAAGATTTTCTCTTAGTGAAACCATGGTGACTATCCAATAAAATTCTAAACTTTGTTAAATGACTTTGCAAAGCATCTTTATCAGACTTTCCAAAACTTTTCCCACAACTGATGTTAGACTAATAGGCCTATAATTACTGGGACAATTTTTATTACCTCCCTTGAAAAGAAGAGTGACATTAGCTAACTTCCAACCCTTTGGTACCAGCCCACTATTCAAGGACTTATAAAAAATAGTAGCAAGTAGCTCATATATCCAATCCTTAACATCCTTTAAAACCCTTGGGGAAATATTATCTGGCCCAAGAACCTTATCATTTTTTAAACTTACCAATTTTTTCTTCAGCTCAGAATTAATGAAATCATATTGTCCGACCTTATTACCTTCTATCAATTGTTCAAGATGAGGAAAACTGCTTAAATCTTCATTAGTAAAAAACTGAAGAAAAAGCAAAATTTAATAACCCAGCCATCTCATAATCTTCAGCTACAAGCCTTCCTTTATCATTCCTCAATGGCCTACCTCAATCCTAACATTTTGTTCACCCTTAATGTACTTAAAGAAATCCTTACTGTTAATTTTTACATTTTCAGCCCAGAATTTTTCATAAAGTATTTTTACCAAAGATTTGTCTGAGAATTTACTGAGCCAATCTGACTTAAGACACTTGATTAGTTTGAGGGCAAGGGGATTTTCATGTTAAAAATAAAAGTACTTTTTTCATTTTACAGTTTTCTTATTTCATTTACATAACCACTATGGACCTTCCCAAATGAATATCAAAAATCTTTGGTAAAACTTTATATTTTATCTATTATTTTCTCTACCCTAACACTAACAGTCTACAGGCTTAGTCAGTTTGACCAACCTTGTTAACCATCATGTAACAAAGAACTACAAAATAAATCTAAATTGTCTTTTTTTCATTCTAGAGGGACTGCATATTATAAAAGATAATTACAACAATCTTCAGTTCTCTAACCTTTTCACAACTGCTTTCATTTAATTTTATTGATCTTTGAATCATATCTAACTATTTAAGTTACTGTAATGGTTGATTAAGTAGCTCTCCATTTTTAAATGTACTAATATACTCATTATATCATAGGATGGTAAAATTGGTAGATTAAAAGTTTGTTATCATCTCAAAACTTTGAAAACAAAATAATTGGCTGATGAAAAGTCAAACTTCATTAAGAATTACCTTGGTAGAAAGTAAAAGGGTGTCAAAGTCAGTGCTAGATAAGCAATTTATATCAACCTCCTCATTTTTAGTTAGTTTTAGAAATTTGAAACCCATAATTGACTTTAATGTTTTTTGAGCACTTAAAACAACAATGTCTTGTGTTTTCAACTTCCTCAATCATCTTCAAGAGGATCTAAAATGAATTAACCCTACGTGCATGAGGTTGGTCCTCAGGACGAAGTCTGTGTTGTAAAATTAATGTTTACTGTAATTCCAAATTTACTTGTGTATCTTCACAAAATTTGGTAAGCTTTTAGTAAATATTACAAGTATGTTGTATACAAAAATTTCTGTAATTTTGTTCATTTTATTTGTTTGCTTGAGAATGAAGGCACGTGTGATGTATTTATAAACTCTCTCAGTACATTTCAAGACACTTAAAATAATATCAGTTAAAATAATAAAGGGCTTATATCATTCATTCTTGCCTTCACCCAGAAGTGGAACCTATATTGCTGCTGGAGGTCAATCAGTGGCTGGTTTAAGTGGTACCAAGATTAGTGAAGCTAGTGTTAGATCAGCTACAATAAACAACAGCAAACCTGTACTAGTGTCTCAGCCTATTGTTCAGCATCTACATCAGGTAAGAAGCATGATAAAGCGTTTTGGATTATAGACCTATATTAGGAAGTTTAAATTGCAAATTTATAAAGAATATTTCATTACATAATACGCTTTGTAAATAATACTGAAGACATTAATACTATGAGACAGTAACTACAAACAGTAAACCATGTTTGGATAAAGTGATAAATCAGTAGTAATAAAATGTAACTTTTTTTTTAAAAGATTTGGTAAATCAATCTATATATAGTATGCAAAAAATGTAGAAATAAATCACTACAGATCTTATAGGATGTTATAAACGTTATGTGAACTTATTCGAAGTATAAAACAAGTTTTTAAAACTATACTTTTTTTTTATTAATCCATTCATTAAATATTTCAAGGGTCTTACTGTAAGTATCTCAATTTGTCAAAACATATGAGCTATCAAAAAGAATAGATTATGGTACTTTCAAGTCACTATACCATCTCCACTTAAGCAAAAAAATAAATCTCTTTTTTTTTCTTTGTAAGCAACTATCAAGTAAATTATATATTATTGAGAAAATATACATCTACATTTGCTTTTCAATTTAATTCAAAAACTTTCACAATGGGAATTACCTTAAAATAAAAATGTGTTTGTCTATTTATTGTTAAGCACAAAGCTACACAATGAGTTATCTGTGCTATGCCTACTGTGGTATTCACATCCCGATTTTTTAGCATGAGAAGCCTATAGACTTACTGCAGAGCCTCCAAATCGCCAAACTAACAATACAAAAACAATATGTTCCATGTTTGTTTAGGTTAAATTACAAATTATCCAGTATACTTCTAAGGGGATGTCTTACTTTTTAAAATCAATTACATGTGTAATGGTTATTGGAGCTGGAGATGCTGTCTTTGATGTTGGAGGTGGTGGTGTCCTACTTGGACGTAATAAAGGTGTCCGTGCCTAAAGAAAAGTAAAATGAAAGTTACTTTTTGAATGCTTCACTGTTTATTTACAGAGTATTGCCATATAATACAAAAAAGGTATTTTAATAAGGTTAAGAATAAAAAATACAGAAAGATGCTCAGAAACCACTTTTAATATTTTTTTACTTGAAGTATTCTTACATTCACTATGATATATTGAAAAAATAACATTTTTATAGTCAAATTTTTAAAACTAAGACTTTTAAGTACATAACCTCATACAAGCATGTTATTTTTAGATTGAAAAACAGTGGATCTGACACAAGTGCAAGTTTGTAAGTAAAATACAAAATTAAAATTTGGCAAACTTTCCACCTAACACTTACTAAATATTTCACAAAAACAATCCATTTTTACTTACAATGATTTGGGGTTGAGGGTGGCTGGACAGGGTGGTTGAGGATAGAACAGAAGTTGATGTGTTACTATGTGGTCGAAGAATTGGTGTGGCCACAGCTGATTTTGGGGCTGCACTTATGCTTGCAACAGCTGCAGCACCTATTGAAAAAAATATGTTGGCATATCACTGTACTAATAAAAATATAAAATAAAAGGAATAAAGGTGGCATCATATTTGTTGAGCAGATAACTCTCAGGTTAGTCAAGAGAAAACATTCACACTGATTAATCTAATTGTTAAACATACTAAAATAGCCAATTGAGCATAAATACAGCACACTGAAGAAACTGAAACTTTTTTTTTGCCAATAAATTGATGAAGATGTGATCTATTTTGCTTGAAAGTTTACAAAGAAACTTGAGAAACTATACAAAACTTTCTAGAACATAACGAACTACACAAATAAACTGGGAATTAGAAACTGCATGTCTGGCTGAAATAACTCAGATTTAACAATGGTATATTTGACGTTATTTTTGTTTTTTGTCCTTACACAAAAGGAGCAGCACGACTGTTCTAAGAGACTTCATATATTACATCATATCAAGTCCCATGGCATGATAATTTCAAAAGTCATAACTACCCTAATAATTAGAATCAGTAACCCTGGTCATGGTTTTCAATTTAAAATCAGTTAGAAGATACTATGTTGATTTTAGGATGTACCCAACAGGTGAGAGGTCTGGGGACCTAAAAATATTAATTATAATTTGATTATGTTTGCTACTGACTATTACTAATCAACTGTCATGACTGTTACTAATGAAGTTTCATGATCAGTTCATATTGTTAGGGTTTTATTGTATCCATGGATATCAGAATAGATATGACAAATTTGCCTTACCAAGTCTCTTTCAATAAATAATAGAACAGAAGTAGTTTAAGGAATGACAAATTTTTATGACACTTGATCTTAATATGATTATACAGTCTACAGAAAAATCATGAATATTTGAAAGATGTAATTAGTTTTATATGTGTTTATGTAGTAACAATAATTACACAGTATTAAATTAGATTTATCTATAGTAAAAATTATTTAAAATATAAAATTGATGCATTAAATATTCTTCTTAGAGATAAATTGGTTAGTGTTTTCAAAATAGGTTGGTACCTGGTACGTCTACATGTCTTCACTTGAGGTAGGTACCACGTACAAAGGAAAACTAAAAAAATTCACAAAATCATTTTTCAGTTTTTCTTTGTAAAACGTCTTTTCATTAGTCAAAAACAAAAGTTATTTATGGTACTTCCAATATCAGACTCACTTGAGTGTTTATTAATTCCTACAGAGTATGCTATACAGCATTTAAATGCTGATTTACAAATATGGTAAAAAGAAGAGACATGATTTTAAATTTTTTTCCAACCTTCAGAAGGAAAAGACAATAGGTTCTTATGATTATCTAATGCATGAGATAATAGGCTGAATGCAAAGAGTAGCAAGAATGAAATGCAGAGTTTATAAACATACAAAGAATCACTAGACAGAACATTTTGCTTCAATTTTCTTGCTTTTTTAAATGATGATTTAAAAAAAATATATTATTGCTAAAAAACTATTAAACTATACTTTTAATACTGTAACCCTATCATGAATCTGGTTTATATGCAAGCCCAATAACAATATCTGAAATTTAGGGTGGCTAGGATGATTTATTCTCTCACCAGTGGTCATAACAAAATGTAACTCCAATCTTGGTCACAAACATACAGCTGTATCACCAATTCAGTTACAAATTGGGTAGAAAGTCTAAATATCATGTCACACAGATTCTAAGTTCTATGTATGAAGATGTAATTGCTTTATTATTACAAATATATATATATATATATATGTGTGTGTGGATTGAAAAATAGATCAGCTTACACGAATATATTCAATTAAAAAAATATATACATCAAATACAGGAAAAGGTTCAGGAGACTGTGAAAGGAATATCAGAAAACAAGTCACTGTCAAAGAACAGAGAAGTATCGCATCACACTAATGCAAGAAATTTTACAATAGAATTAAAGATAACAGCTTTCAACAGCTACATATTTCAGATAATGACAGATCACTTCTACAAAGATTATTTCAGGAAGCCTTTCATTGAAAAGCAAGCATTTGAAAATTGGTAAATGTCACAAGGCAGTAAAAACAGAATAGTGAAATTTCCATGTATACTTATTACTCATTTAATGATCTGAATAATATAAAATTTATTACTCCACAGTTTTTGAAAAATTTATTAGCAAGACAAAAATTCTATCACGTTGTTTCATTTTAACATTACTGATTTTTACTGGCCAGGCTGAAGTAGACCTGGCAAAAATTAATTAAATATTAACTTTCTTAAATCCCTAACCCTACTTTTAATGTATTTGATAGATATACAAATATCTACATCAGTTAGTAAATTATAAACACTAACAACATAATTAGCTTAAACAACAATACTTGAATGAAAAAATATTACAAATAATAAAAGACTTGGTACTAACCTCTGGGTACATGTGAGGAATATGGATGCTTCCACACACAAGTACTTATTGTCATCTTCCTCTTTATTTTTTTGTCCTTATATTCTAAAGACCAAAATGTATGAGCAACAGTTGAGCTAAGTTAGAGAAATAAAATATTTTGTTCTACACCATAAAAAAAAATTAAAATTGACATTTATGTGATGATTACAATACATGACAACTAACCACAGTATCTTTATTCAATATCCAAATATTGAGCTTATTACTACTTTTTTTATAGTATCACATTTACAAAGTGAATATTTACTTCACCGTTCTCTATTGCAGCATAACTAAATACAGAATTACTATTTTTGTATTCCCCGTGGTATGATTTTACCTAGCATACAGCACTGAAATGTATTGCAGATAATACACATTAAAGTAACTATACTCTAGTATCCTAACCAATATACAACATAAAAGAGCATGAAATACAATATACACCAGAAAAGTTTGCAAAAGTTTTGATGACCAATAAAAGCATGATAAAAAGTTAACGTCTACAATCTGATAGGTAATTAGTAAGGAACAAAAAACAAACAATCCATAATTACGTATGTAGTAAAGATTATTTTATTACTTTGCAAATAATTTACTGACATGTGAAAGAGCACAACATACACTCTCAATCACACAAAGCCTGTTTCAATGGGACAGTCTAAAATACCTAATGTGGCTTAGTGTGTTCAAAATATTCGCACACAAGCTTTGCACATTACAAGATAGGCACTTCCCAATACTATATTAAAAAAGATTGGACATTTTCAATAATGAAAACATAAAAATTAAGTTAAGCCATATTATAACCTACTTAAAGTGGAAAACACTTAACATGCTTAAATTGACACAAAAAGTATGAATAAAAATATTGAAAATCATCTTATACAGTTCACACATGCATATCAGTAGCCCATGGTTGCCTGTGAAAATTTCTAGAATAAGAAGCTTCAGCATCCTGTGTTGACATCAGTGAAAATGTTATTTTTCTAGACAATAATGAGAAAGGCTTAATACTCAGCAATTCAACACTGATTTAACCATTATAAAAGGATAACTTTGCACTTAATTTCAAAAAGTTATTGGGTGCCCTTCTGTTCTGAGCCACAGAATGAACCACAGTTGTAAAATAAGTAAGGCAATTTATTCATAATTTGTAAATACTGTTTCTGGGGATAATTGCAAAGATGTTCTTTACATGAAATATGCACTTTTGCTTTGACCACCCTTGGAACTTGAATTAGCAACAGGCTAAAAAAGTTGTTGGCTCCTAAGTCACCTGTTCTACATTTATCCATCATTCTTTTCCTAAATATTTTAGTGATCTGAACACATTGCATATGTTTCTACTCAAAAAAGTTCATGATATGGGCCATAAGGTTCGTTGATTCATGTGCAAATTAAATAAAAAAAAGCAAAATAAGGACTTTGTTGTTGTGTGAATTATCTTAATATTTTTTATATGCAATAATAATAATAATGATATATTGATGTCTTTATGTTTTTGCATGCAGTTTGGGGGCTTATAATAAGCCATCTGGAAAGTGCTGGCATTATCAGTATACATCAAACAATATTATTGAAACCAAAATCTGCAGACAACACAGAGAAACTGGATATAAGTGTGCTGAGGATCCTCCATACATTCGGTTACACTGCATACCATCTCAATGTTGTCATGATTTAATGCAAGCTCCATTCAATGAATAATAATACCACCACCACCTTTCTCATTCACTGAGATGTTACACTTGGACAAAGCATAGCAAAAACTCATGCAGATTTGATGGCAGCAATACAAGAACAGCAAATGGACGTAACAAATTGGTGTTAGAAGTGGGATAGAGAAAAAAAAAGAGAAGAAAAATGGAAACGAGAGGCGGAAAATCAAACTACTGCTTAGCAGATTTGATGGCAGCAATACAAAACCAAAAGAAAAGAAACAAGAAGAACGAGAAGAGAAATTACAACAGTTGTTAGAGGAAAAAGAAAAGAAACAAGAAGAACGAGAAGAGAAATTACAACAGTTGTTAGAGGAAAAAGAAAAGAAACAAGAAGAGAGACAACAGCAATTACAACAGTTGTTAGAGGAAAAAGAAAAGAAACAAGAAGAAAGACAACAGCA